TTTTTTTTTTTTTTTTTTTTTTTTAGCATGGAAGTTCATTACCTGTCATATGGTGCCCTATGTCAGAGATGTGTGCACCTAGTTGGCAAGGACTGTAGGGGTAGAGTGATTTCCACCACTAGTTAACGAAGTCTGAGAGCCGCAGCCTCCTGAATGTACAAAAGTTGTTCTGAGAGACAGTGTACAGCATGGAGGAGAAGCTAATAGGTAACTCTGGGAAGAGACAGGAGTGGAAAATAGGGCAGTGGTGGACAAAAGATGTTTCCTTGTGGTGCTTTGTCACTGCCTCCTCTCTGACCCTACACTTACAAAATGGCCCAAGGTAATGGGTAGTGAGCACATTTTTTCACCAGAGTGGTCAGCTACCATAAGGAAGCCCGATAGAAGAGTGTTTTTTTAGCAGCCGAGGGTCTCCTCATCAACTGAAACTCCCCCAGTTGGTTTAGATGTTTAAACCAGCGGCCCTGAGACAAGCGCACACGTTGTGCTTCCTGCCGTAGTGCACAAACACAACTGGCCTCCATTCCGCTGCCCAAACTCTGATAGCCTCCAGACTTGCAGTGCTCCTGGGCTGTGGGCCCGAGCTTGGCTCTTCCACCTCTAATCCTATGTCCCCTGCCCCAGGTGCTGGGACTGTACAACACCCTGAATCCAGAAGCATCTGCCTCCCCTTGCTGTGTGCCCCAGGACTTGGAGCCCCTGACCATCCTGTACTATGTCGGGAGGACCCCGAAGGTGGAGCAGCTCTCCAACATGGTGGTGAAGTCTTGTAAGTGTAGCTGAGGCCTGCCTGTGACAGAGGAGGGAGAACTGCCACCATCTGATGGCCAGCTCCTCGGGAAGCCAGTGCGACGGACCTAACGTAGAGGCCTGGGACCCACAACCCTTGGCTCCCGGCATGGCTGAGATGGAGGCTTCCTTCTGGAACATTTCCCTTTCTAGCTGGCTCTGAGAATCACTGTGGTGAAGAAAGTGTGGGTTGGTAGGGGAAGGTGAACTCTTCAGAACACAGACTTTCTGTGGTACACACAGAGGTGGTGGGGATAGAGGAAGAGGGATGGCTAGTGGACGTGTCATGTGGCAAGGGGACTTGGGAGGAAAAGGGCGGAGGATGGCCGTGTCAGGGCCAGGCTGGAAGACACTTCGGATCTGAGGTCAGCTTTGTGCATTGCTGTGCCACGTCTGCCCCAGGGAACCGGGATGACATCATATGAGGCATACGTTTTTCTTCAGATAGGATACCAAGACAAAGTCCCAGAAGTGTATTTTGTACTACCTGGGATTAAGGACAAATGTGTTATTTTTGCAACCTGTCCCTTCTACATCAGTCAGCATCATGGGTTGTTACAGAAAATGTAATGTAGTTCCTGGGCTAGCAACTATATTGGGCCCCGTGGAGAGTAGAAATCCAAAGCCAAGGGTGGGAGTTAACCCTCTCCTGGTTGCCCCCTGGGTCCCTTCTCTTGCCTTCTTCCCTGATCACATTTCACCTTGAACATCTGGCTAGACACCTTCCAGGTCAGGGTGTGCACATCTGGATTTTGGTCCATGCAGCCTTGAGGCATCAGAAGCCCCCCCACACTACCCCCCAAGACCCGGTATTCATTTGGTGTTCCTGGGAGAAGGTGCTACCCATGAGGTACTGGGTGGGGGTGCTGCACGGGTGCCCCACCCATGATGACTTGGCCCCAGGCCTGTAGACTGAGGTATAAGACAAGTACAAATATTACTCTCTAAATCTTTGTATAAATAAATATTTTTGGGGAATCATGGATGATTTCATCTTCTGGAAGACTGTTTCTAGAACAGTAAAAGCCTTATTCTAAGGTGTATGTCTGACTATATACATATCCTTAATTACCCTCTTCTTGATTCCACCATAGCACCTACTACTGAGAGACAACTAGACTCTGAAAAGAGAATCCCCCAACATCAAACACACTCTTAGTGTGAACGCGCAGGCCAACGGGCAGTGTGCGGCCTTTGCCCCCAGGAGACCACACTGTTTGTATGCCTTTCCTTCCTGCAGAGTGTATGGTTCTCAGACACACAGGAGTAGCAGCTGATTTGCAGAGAGCATGCAAATTTGGCCTCCAGATCATGGTGGCATGAGAATCCTTGGAAATGTTGTTTGCACACCAAATCTAAATGACCCAACTTCATCAGTTTTGGAAATCTCATGTCAGCCTCCAGTCAGTTGAACGTTAGAGAGTCTATGGCCAATGACCCAAGAATGAGGCTAATTCTGTTACTAGGTTAATCCTAAACTGGCCAAGCAAGAAGCCTTTTCAGATGCTGGGCCTCTTGTTAATGGTCTGGGAAAAGCACAATCCCATATGGTTACTGAAGTTACAGATCCCAGAGGGATGCGGCATTCTGCATGCATATCCCCCCGAAGCAGGCCATCTGCGGCGAGGGAGTAGGGTGTGAGGAACCATCCAGCAGCACCCAAAAGCCATCTGGCTCAGTGACTCACATAAACTCTGGTAAAAGGTCTGAAGCTACAGTTTGCAGTTTGGAGGATGTGCAGGAGATGCTCATGCCTGTGTGATCGAGTACGTGAGCATCTTGTTGCTTCTGGACTCCTTCAAGATTGAACCCGAGTTTGGTCACCAAGACATTTTTCCCTGCTCTCTGCTCTGTCCGTGTCCCAGCCAATTCTAAAGGCGTCTTTTTATGCTCTGGGTGCCCATTTATTTCCACTGTCCTTCTGGAGACCATGTCCCTGCCCTGAAACCCTGTGGGGGTGCACTTTATCTTACACAGGAAACACTGGTGGTGGTGGTGGGGTCACCTCCAAGGCTGTGCTATCCCAAGTGTCACAGTCTATTCACTACAGCTCTAGAGCTGTCTCTGGGACTGGGGTAGGGTCCAGCTTTTCCTAAGAACTTCACTTTGAGAAGCGATGTATTGGACCTGACATTACTGGTCCTTCCCTGAGGCTTCGATAAGGAAGAGGAAAACAATTTTCCTGGCTCTAGACTAAATCTCCTTTTTTTGTTTTGTTTTTTTGTTTGTTTTTTGAGACAGGGTCTCACTGTATAGCTGAGACTGACCTGGAACTCACTATGTAGCCAAGGCTAGTCTCGAACTCACAGTGATCCTCTTGCCTCAGCCTCCTGAGTGCTGGGATTATAGGCGTGCGCCACTACTCCCGGCTAAATCTCCCTTTTTATTGAACCTCTTAAGGCGTAACTAAAACATTGGCCTGTGGTTCATCCTAATGAGTCAAGGCAGATAACATGTGTTTGCTGAGGTATCCCAGAGAAAACAGAACACATGGTCATTCCGAGTGTTTCCAAGAGAGCGAGCACACTATTCCTCCATTAAAAGTAGCAGATACAAATCTGGGCAGCAGTTTGGAGTCCAGCCTCCCCAGTCTGTGTATCACTATGGCCCACAGACACTTGAATCATCAACTGTCTTCAAAGAATACACGCACTGGTTTTGTGGAAAGGTAGAGGGACACTGGAGGGAGAGATCTGGTACCTGGTACCTGGCTGGGACACAGCGAATGAAAGAAATCAGCCCGAGGAGTTAGTTCTGTTTACCCCGGGCAGTTTCCAGCAGGGCAGGTGCTGTCTGAGTTCTGTTATTAGGTTTATCTCTTATCCCTTTTCACAAGTCATATGTTGAATTCTTCCAAGCCCCTTGTTTCCCAGTACTACATGTCAGCAGGGGACTTGGAGGACTTCTGATTGGTTTCCTAACCAACCTACAACCTACAACCAAGGGGGCAAACAGTCAAGATGGTCCTCAGATGATCACCTACAAGTCCCAGGGACACATGGCTTCTATTCCGCCTTCTCCCCTACAACCCAGACAATCTCATGTCACCAGCAAATGGTGCTGCCACATGCCCGATCCTTCATTTTCAGTCACTGAGAAGGCAATCAATCGCTGTCTGTCTTTTTGGGTGTCATTTTCCTCTTTGGATTTTAGTGTTGAGTCTACAGGGCCAGATTTTGGATTCTCCCTCACTGACTTCCCAGAGTAGCTCAGTCAATCCGTTAGCAGGCTCTGGGGCCCAGCTTTCAACCTTTTCTCCTTCAGAAGCCAGAGCACGGACCTGGGAGAGTTGAGGAAGCAGGAGCGCAGTCAAGTGGGGACAATCAGGGCTGTGCTGCAGGGTCTGGAGGAGCTGGTGACCTGTACCCAGAAAGTCACCCACAGAGCACTAGAGGACCGCACTGGAGCCTTCCCAGGTGTGGGAGCTGCCCTGGGGAACAACCTGGCTGCACCGCCTGGTGAAACCCAGCTCCTTGGTAACTCCACGTTTCTAAAATGAAGTTTAAAAAGTTGTTCAGGAATGAAATCAAATGAAAAGTTGGTCCCATTTCAGCCTTGCTTGTGAATACTGATTGTTGGGAAATAAGCAAAAATGGGGGGAAAAATAGAATGACTTTATTCATCTTAAAAAGCAGTAATTACCCTGGGCCCTATCAGCAGCGCATACCTGGCCTCCTGCTCAGGGAACCTGAGACCCGAGCCCCTTCCCCAGGCCCCTTGAAAGGGAAAGACAACTTGGGTGGGTGACGATGGTGAGATTTTTAAGCTTGCACAAAGAAAACGTAATACTATAATCTGGAAAAGAAGAGCAAGCACAATGCAAATAGCCGAAGAGCCTCTTTTATATCATCTCTGTGCTGCGGCAGGAAAGGGGCAGAGACCTAGGAAGGCTGGAGCAGGAGGGGAGGTAAAGGTACGCGCTCAGCCAGGGCAGGGATGCATGAGCTGTCTGTCCCACCGCCAAGGTCCTTCCAAAGCCAGAGGCTCTGTGTTCCTGTTGTCTCAGTAAAAGTCTGGTTTGGTTGATGGCAACCATCCACTGCCAATTCTGCTTGAGGGCTTTGGGGGCTCTGAGGCAGAAAAAAAAATACTATGGCCCCCCTGCAGGCTGGCAAGTGCTCCGCCCTCAGTCACGCACCAGGCAGCAGTCAGCTGGTGCTCTCTCCGTGGTGTGCGTGGGCTCTGCAAGAGAGAAAGGAACCCGCTGAGTGACGGGCGAGAGGAAGGTCAGGTCTCACCGCTTCGCAGCGATTCTGGGTTACTTGTTACATGTTGTAGTCCCAATAAATGAACTTCACCTTGAAGTACAAAACTTTTAACTTTCACCACTTTGGCTGGAAATCATCTTAAAACATGTTTGCTCTGTGGCTCTTTTTGGGGAGTAGTTTTCTTTCTCATGGATTAAAACCAATTTTTAAAATGTCTGTGTTGGTTTTAGAAATAGTCTTATTAGCTGTCCAAGGTGATCTTGAACTCATGGGCTAAAAGGATCCTTCTGCCTCAGCCTCTCAAGTAGGTGACGTCACAGGAGACCACCACCATGCCAGGCACAATAAAAGCATTTTATTTTATTTTTTTGAAGGGCCTGGTGGCACACATAGTCCCAACTACTAGGAGGATGTGGCAGGAGGAACTTTGAGCCTAGTAAGACCCCATTAAACACAGTAAGAACCCATTAAACAAAAAAGGAAAGAAAAATCTATCCCTCTTGCTCTCCTATATGTAGATGGTGGTAAATATTTCCATCTTTTCTAGAGACTCGGGTGAACATTAGCATTTCTGAACTGCATGGAAAAAGTTCCACATGTGCCTGGGATTGCCTACGTCTTCCCCCAGTGCAGGGATGTCAGATGGTCTCCGTGCTTTGACCGCACCCCATCCCCATCTACTCCTGTGCACCCGATACCCCGTTTAAGGAAAGGAACCTCACTCCCAAGTCTGTAAGGCCCTTCTGGTTCTCTCTACTTCCACCGGCCCGGATTCTGGGTTACCAATCCCGTTTGCTTGTTAAAAACAGGTTTGCTTACCACATACATTTACATCCCTGAATAACACAAGGTTTAGTTGTAGGGGTTTTGGGTTTTATGGTGCCCCTGTGATCGTGCCTGGTGTGACCTCGGGACAACTGGAAGGACTCTTATGGGTGTACACTTGGCAGGGGGCCTGCTGGGTCACTGATGCTGCCATCCGAGCCATTACTGGTGGTTGTGCTCATTCGCCCTGTGTTTCATTACCCTCCAAAGAAACCCTGTACCTCTCAGCCCCATACCTTTCATGGCCCTGCCCTAGGCAAGCACTAATCTACTTTGTGTCTCTAGCATTATCTATTCTTAATGGTTCACAGAAACGGAATCATGCAGTATGTGGTCCTTTGTGACTAGTATCATTTATGTAGCAGAATGTTTTAAGGGTCGTCGACATTGTAGGATGCGGTAGTTCTTTATTCCTTTTTTATGGCTGAATAATATTCCATTGTATGTATGTATATACTACATTTATTCAGTCATCAGTCCATGGATGTGGGGTTGTTTCTGCCTCTTGGCTGTTACTAATAACACTGCTATCAATGTGCATTTACTACTTCCTGTTGCACACATCTTTTCCCTTCTCTTGTCTGTGGATCTGGGAGTGAAATTAATTGTAGGTCACATGGTAACTCTGAATTTAACCTTTTCAGGAGCTGCCAGACTCTAATCATTTCTCACCTTCATCAGTGGTATTTGAAGGTTTCAGTCTCTCTACATCTTTGCCAGTACATGTTATTGTGGCCAAGCTAGCAGGTGTGAAATGCTATCCTGCTTTGGTTTTGATTCACATCTCCCCAGTGGCTAGCAATGCTGAGGTTCTTTTCATACATCCATCTTCGGTTAAATATCTGTTTAGATATTCCTTAGTCCATCTGAAAAACTGAGTTCTTCCTTATTGAATTGCATTGAGTTCTCCTTGTAACATATGCAATTTGTAAATATTTTCTTCCATTTTGTGAGTTGTCCTTTTACTTTGTTTTTTTGTTTGTTTTTGTTTTGAGAGAGGCTATGCAGTTCAGACTGGCCTTGAACTCACTATGTAGCCTAGGCTGGCCTTGAACTTGCAGTGATCCTCCTGCCTCAGCCTCCCAAGCGCTGGGATTACACGCATGCACTGCCATGCCTGGCTGCTTTCTTTTCTTGATAATGTCTTTTGAAGCAAAGACTTTGCCTTTTGTTGCTCATGATTTGATATCTAAATTTTAGAAGTTTTTGCTTAATATCTGGAAACTAATGTTTTACAAATATTTTCACCTAGTCTGTTACTTATCTCTTTATAATTTATTAATTTACAAGGTAAATACTACTCAGATTACATTTATTTTTAAATTATTATTATTATTTTTTATTTTATTTTTTTGAGACAGGGTCTCACTATGTAGTTGAGACTGACCTGGAACTCACTATGTAGCCCAGGCTGGTCTCGAACTCACAGCAATCCTCCTGCCTCAGCCTTCAGTGTGCTGGGATTACAGGTGTGCACCACCATGCCCAGCTGCAGACTACATTTAAATAAAATACTTAACAGGTAACTTTTTCAGAAAATGATTTTTTGAAATGTCAAGACTTCTAGAAAACCCAGGATACTATAATAAAAATAATGATTTCTTTAAAATTTTTGTAAATATAAAATTTCAAACACACACACACACACACACACACACACACACACAAATAAATGCCATCATCTACCTTTGGTAATTACCAACTTTCTTTCTGAGACAGGGCTTTCTACGTGGCCCAGGCTGGGCTCAACCTGGCAGTCCTCCAGCCTGGCTTCTGGAGTAGCTGGGATCATGGTGGACACCACTCCTGGCTAACATGTACCATTTCCATCTCTTTCTCTGTTTCTTACCGGGAGCACTTTGCAAGCCAACTCAAGTTATGACATTATGTCTCTTTAAGGGGTAAGGACTTAAGGGTGGGAAATCCATAGTATCTTTCCGGTATCTGAGAATTTCATGATTTAAAAAAGTCAAATCCCCTTTCCTTCCCTTCCCTCCCCCCGCCCCATCTCTTGCTCCCCTTCCCATATCTATCCTCCACGTTGCTCCTTATTTATACTTTGGGTTATAAATTTTATTTTTGTTTTTTGAGACAGGGTCTCACTATGTAGTTGAGACTGACCTGGAACTCACTTTGTAGCCCAGGCTGGTCTCGAACTCACAGCGATCCTCCTGCCTCAGCCTCCCAAATGCTGGGATTACAGGTGTGTGTGGGTTATAAATTTTAGAACCATGTTGCCAAACTTCCAAAAACAAAACAAAAAAAATGAACACTCCCTGAAATCTACAGATCATTTTGGGGGAGAACTGATGTCTTTACCAAAGCAGGACTTCTACTCCACAAACACCTGCGCTTTGCCATTAACTTGTGACCTCGATAAGGTTTTTAATATATTTTAATAACAAGTCTTGTATATCTTGTTAAATTTATTCCTAGATACATCATATATTTTAATGCTCTATAAAAGGCAACTCTTCAATAATCACATGCTTTGTTTCTTGCTGATACTTAGAAATGTAATTGTTTTTGGAAAACTCTCTTCTAAAGCTAAGCAGTCACTGAAGATACTTTTGGGTTTCCAATTCAATACGTTATATACCACCTGACAATAATAATTGATTTCTTCTTCTTTGATCCTCATGTCCTTTCCTTTCCTTGTTTTACCTTACCAGCTAAGATCTTCTACCATAACATAAAAGTAATTTATTTTTGTGGTACTATGGATTGAATCCATCTTCATACTAAATTACGTCCCCAGCCCTCCCTCCTTTTTTATTTTGAGACAGGGTCTTGCTAATTCACTAAGTTGTCCAGCTGGGCTCCAACTTGTGATCTGCCTGCCTCAGCCTCCCAGAGTGCTGGGGTTACAGGCATTTGATGGAGGGCTCCCTCATCTTGCTTCTCACCTGAAAGGGAATGCACACTTTCAAGTGTCCCAATTAAAATACGATGTCTGCTTTTGGATTTTGTAGAGATATTTTATTATCAGGTGACGAAAGTTCCCATCTAAGATTTTTTTGGTTAAAGTAATGTACTGAATTCTTTCAAATGCTCATTTTGTTTCTAACGAGAAGAGCATAGATTTTTCCTCTTTAATATGTTGCTGTGATAAATTACATTAGTCAATTATTATTATTACTATTATTATTTTGATTTTTTTGAGACAGGTCTGGCTATGTAATTCAGGCTGGCCTTGAACTCACTATGTAGTGTAGGCTGGCAATGAACTTGTGGCAATCCTCCTGCCTCAGCCTCCTGAGTGATGGAACAATTTTAAAATATTAAACAATTGTTAAGTCTCTAGGGTAAACCAAATTTGGTTATAAGTATTACCTTTTTAAACATTGCTAGATTTAATTTGCTAATATTTTATTTGGAAGTTTTGCACTTACATCCATGAATAAGAATGTCTTGCAAATTTGGAATGTTTTTTGAACTGTCCTTGTCAGGTTTTGATATTAAGATAATCCTAGAGATGTGAAGTCTTTCTTATTTTCCTATTCTCTGAAATAATTTGTAGGTTGGGATATTTTCCCCGTGGATACTTTTTAGGAGTAACCAGTAAAACCATAAAATCCTGGCACTGTATTTGTGGGAGGATTTTTGTTCTTGATCCAATTTCCTTAATTAAAGAAATACTTGGATTTTATATTTCTTGAGTGAATTTTGTAAGTTAAATACTAAAATTGTATCCATCTTACCAAAGTTTTAAAAATGTATCAGCACGAAACTATTCGTAATATTTTCCTACCATGTGTTTAATCTCTGTGGCATATATAATAATGTCTCTGTTCCTCAACTGTTTATTTTTCTGTTCTAAGATTTTCCTCTCTTATCTTTATTATTGTTTATTTTTCTTTACTTTTTACTTTATTTGGGTTTATTGGGTTGTTCTTCTTTTAACTTCTTAAGTCAGATACTTAGCACATTAACTCTGGCCCTCTTCCCTCCCCCTCACTGAAAGCATAAATTTTCCTTTTAAGTATTCTTTTAGCCATATTCCTCAGGTTTTTAGTGTGAGACGTTTTCTAATTATATTATGATGCCTTTGATGAGTTAAATCTTTCTTATTTTCCAAACACACGAGGATCTCCCAGTTTTCTTTTTGTTATTACAGTGGTCAGGGAATATGGTCTCTGAAATGTGATA